TGCATGGCACTTTACTCCAATTGGCTCATTCGCTTGCTTAAACTCAACGTTGATTCTGATTCCGCAGAACTGGGTTCTCTGTGAAAAAGCAATTTTCGACGGATTTGCACCAAAATTTACATGCTCATGCTCCAAGTTAGAGGGAAGGCAAGACCGACTTTGCATTTCCCAACTCCCATCGATAGTGGAAATAATCGATTTTTCATACTTCTACGGCAGTTTTCATGTAGTTTGCGGTCATTTTCTACTGGCCAGAGTGAGAGCCTATAGTTGGCTGCCACGAATAGGCAGGAAGATTCTAGTGGCCAGCGTGAGAGCCAACAGCTGACTGACACGAATGTTAACTAGCATGCAAAAAAAATCGATAGCTGCATTCGTCACAAGTGGAAAAAATTTAAATCTGCATGGCACTTTACTCCAATTGGCTCATTCGCTTCCTTAAACTCAACGTTGATTCTGATTCCGCATAACTGGGTTGGGTGTGAAAAAGTATTTGTTGTTAACATTCTTTTTTCATTCGGTTTTTCCAGTTTCGAGTCCTTTTTTAAAGCTGAACGTTTTGTGTTCATTTTGTTTAGTTCTTTTTTCGTAACAGATTTAATATTTAGTATAGAGCTTAGAAAAAATTCGCAGTGTGAGATAGGCAAGAAGTAAGGCATGTAGCAAGATCAGCACGGCAAAGGGCACTCCTTTAAAGGCAAGGAAGGGCAAAAATATTTTAAGTCAAGTGATAGCGATTGCTGTACGAGTCGTAGGATTTTTTAATCAAGCACGGGCAACGCCGGGCCATGCTGCTAGTTCTTTCTATTCTTATGGGTTCATTGGAGGAGAGGATTTTACATTTAGACATTCTTCAGCCATACAAAGCCTTAAAGTCATATAGAAGTCATCGGTATTGAATGGATAGCGGCTCGAATTGAGGAATCGGAGAGCCGCGTTCGAATTCCAGTTGAATCCATTACATTCACTTACGACCTAATAACCTTTGTAAAGGTATGAATCCTCTTCTTCTCCCCCACCCAGCTATGGGTAAATAGCAGAACAAATCGAGTTCTATAGTCTTGGATTGCAATTGGTCTACCGCAGAAAGAAATGGCAACCTACTGCGGGAAAAATCTGCCTGGTCAATCATGTATCGAAATATACATGATCGTCTACGCATGTATCTTGCATAACACTGATTGATCCTCGACCATGTTGCTTTTAACATTACGTCTTGATAGAAGCATTCATTGGCTTTGTTCAATGTTTGAAATTCTGAATTGATTCATTGTCATTATTTCACGAGTTTGCACTAATTTTATTAGGCGTGTTGTTTTTATCACTATGTTTCGGCCGATACATTCTTTGATCTTTTTTAGAAGTAAATATTACTCCGGCAGGAAGAGGGAACTCTGGGAAAGTTTTAGATCTAGGCATCAAGAATTTCGTCAAAGTGTTTTATCACTTCCACTACTACCACCACCACAGCAAAAATGAATAAACACATAAAAATCCGGCTCTTATAAATCGAACATATCAACACACCATAACAATCTCAGTACATTTTCCGAGTCACAAACAAACATTTTTTTCTTTAGTAATTTGTTGATTTTTTTTTATTTTTTAATTATAGTTAGTCTTAACTACTGATTTTGGCCTTGATTCACCTGGGCATTCTAGAGTCAGAGGTGAGTAATTCAAAAAGTGCCTTAATAATCGGGGGCTTCTTAATATGCATTAAAGCGGGATGATCTTAATGAAAGGGGAGTTCGGAAAATCATTTAATGGGTCAAAATGTGTGAAATTAGTAGACGAGGTGACCCTAATATCCTCGGTGGCGAAAGGGTTGACAAATTTCCAAAACTATATAAATAAAATAAAAACGTTTCCTCCCATTTCTGAAGTACCTCTAAATACAAGAATTGGAAGATTCAAAGAGTGAACATTTTTGAATTTTGAACTTTCTAAAACTCTCAGCATAATTATGTTAGCGCAGGGTTTGTTCGGCTGCTTTCTTGGGTGATGGGTATTGGAATTTTTCACAACGTGCAAAAATCATGGAGTCTGCAATGATTTTTATTTAACGTCTGTTTTTCATTGAAAATCAGGATTCTAATTTTCCATATTTAGTAAGATTAGCTCGGTACAGCAAAAATGTCAACTAGAAGAAATCGGGGTGTGAAGATTGTATTACCCCAATTTTCAAATTGGAAGAGGTCCACCTATCATTTTTGTTTTTACCAGAAGAATTAGTTTAAAAAGATCTGTCAGATTCTCCTGTTGATAGGGCTACCAACATCAGTCAATGACAATGGTTATCTTTATATCTGGAATTGTTTAGTTCTGCTCATCTCGTGTTATCTTCAATCAGATATTTTCTGTTGCTGGTTATAATTGCAAACATATGACACCGTGCTGAGGGCAGACAGAAAAAAAGAATTCCTAGGCAGTGCAGTAAAGGAACATGAGAAGAAAGTGCTAAACATCAATTCTAAAAAAGCAGAATGCATGGCAGTGAATGCTGGACAATCACCACACAGATGAAGAGGAGACTTGAAGCAACACAAATTTGGTTCTTAGTAACAGAAATGTAAGATATTTAATATTTTTGGATTGTAAGAATATTTTTTGCGAGGGAATATTGTATTACCAATATTTATAGAATAATGCTTTTCAGATACAGCTTCTACTAATTAACCCATAGAAGAGAAGGTGGAGAAGTGGTGTAGTCATACCTTTCCCCAGGATATTCGCCCGTGAGTGAATGTAATTAACCAGATTGTAATTCGAACTGATTCGGGGGAGAAGCGATGTATTCGTACATTTCCCAAGGTTAGTATCTGTCTATATTTCTGAGATGAGGTATTATGTACATTATTTACATTATTCGGACTATTGTCTTCATCTTTGTCGCCATATTTATTACAACGTTTCGGCCGTTGTACGCTCCGGCCTTCTTCAGGTAGTTGGAATGTCGAACTGAACCCTTTATTTCGCTCACTGGAGGACAGTGGATAAAGGCGTTGGTTAGATCCAGTGACAGGACCCAAAGAGTGTGAGTTCAATACCCGGTTAAGGCAGTGGAGAACTTTCAGAGGGAAATTAACAGGAGATAACTGATAACTGACATCCATTAAACATGGCACGTGGAAGTAGAACAGTCTACCCCGGTGAGCGAAATAAATGCACGCTTAAGTGAATATCATGAATCCAACGAGAATTGGAACTCGGCTCTCCGATTAACAATTCCGAGCCATTATCCATTATACCACCTACACGTCCACCAGATATCCCCAAGTGGTAACCCTTCTACGTACTAACCAGGCTTGACGTTGCTTAACTTGATCTACAGGGATTGGTTTTTCAACGTGATTGACCGTTAGCGCTCAGGTAGACACACAAGATGAGAGGTCCGATATATACATATATACCGTACTTACACTATTTACATTGTTCGGACTATCATCCTCATCTTTGTTGCACTTTTCAATTTATCTCCATATTTTCGTTGTATCGGTGCAACAAAGATGAGGATGATAGTCCGAACAATGTAAATAGTGTACATAATAACTCATCTCAGAAATATAGACAGATACTAATACCGTATATACTTGTGTAGAACCCGATTGCATGTATAGTGCGACCTCTGATTTTTTTTGCATGAATTTTAACCCCTTCAGAAACATGTTACCTATGTATAGTTCAACCGGTCACCGAAAATGCATAATTTCTAACCTCTTCAAAAAAAGTTACCTGTTTATAGTGTATTTTTGGCGTAAAAAATGATCATATAATACGCACTATACACGATTATATACAGTTTTCGTTCAAAAATTCTTTCAAAAGGTATCTACCAAACAGAAAAAGAAATTCCTTTAGCGAATGCATTTGGAACACACTAGATAGAAAGTCCTTTACCATATCATTGAAAATAAACAGAAGTATATATATATATATATATATATATATATATATATATATATATATGAAAAAAAAACAACGCAATACAGAAAAGAAGACACAAATAAGAATTTTATTTCAGGCTCACAATGTCACTTATCTCTTTGGCCATAAAAAGAATTTTGAAAACATGTCCTTAAAAAAAAAACGAGTTAGTTTTAAGTGTTTTCACTTAAACGTCTCTTTTAACCCTTTCTTTGTAGCGCGTTTCAGTTAAGTCATTGATAAATTCCATTCAAAGAAAGAAAAAAAAGAATGAAAAATAAATTTTAGATCAGTTAGGAAGAAAGAATTAACGACTTTTCGCAAAAAAAAACAAACTAATCCTAAATATAATACGTAGAGTATATCTGATATAACTCGATAAAAAGTTATTTATTATACACAATATTCATTTCTAATATATCGAGTTATCAATCATTTCCGTTTTTCATTATTAACTTTACACTTCCAAAAAAAAAAAAAAAGAAAAAAAAAGAAGTAAAATTACTTTTTATTCGATTATATATTCACCAATATATTCCATGCTCTCTTACCAGTTATCAGGGAACTCTTCGGTCCATTTTGAATAAAATTCAGCAGATTTTCATGTAAAAAAAATGCTACAAACCCTTGAATCTGATTTTCATTAGGGAAAGTTTTCCCCATTGAAGCGTTTTGTAGTGAACGAAAAAGATGATCGGTTATTGCAAGATAAGGTGAATATGTCGCGTGGGTTACAACAGATCAACCGACTTCCAAATATTTTTATGTTAGCAACTTCATCTCGTAAAACTTAGGGAAACCAAAACAACAACACCAAACATATTGAGAACTTCGGCCCTATGTTCCTCAGTGGAGTCTACTGGAACTGAGAGAGCAGTTACGACATTTCTAAACTGCTTCCTTCAGTATTTTGGGAATAGAAAAAGAGAAAGAAAAATATTGCAACATTTTAAAAAAAAAATAGTTCAATATTTATTACACAATTGTGAATTGATCTCTACACGAATAGCTGATTCCTTTTTCATCTTTTCTTTGTGCAATTTATTTGTATTTTTTGCTATAAAAAAGTAAACAAATCCTATAAAAATTGAAAGACTGAGGCAATTTCCCGGAAGCAGACGACATGTGATGTTAGTTGCAAACAAATTAATACCAGGTATTAATGAGGTTTTAATATTGAAGGGAAAGAAAACAGAAAATAACGAGAGGGGATCTGATGAAAAAATAGTTTAAGGGAATTTCTAAAAAAAAATACTTTTAAAACTTTTGTTGATAACTGGAAGAAAGAAAGAAAAAAAAATAAAGGTGTGGGATCCGCTGAAGATTATTAATTTGATGTCGGGGAAATTATTTTGGGAGAAACGAGAAAAGAAAGGGACGAGGGAAAATGTCAAATATTACATCGGCAAAAAAGCAAAATTGTCGACGGGGAGAGAGAGAGAGAGAAAATGAGAAAGAGAGAGACAGAAGGATTAACAAGGAAGAGAGAGAGAAAAAAGGTCGAGGAGAGAAGCGAGAGAGAGGAAAGGTCGATGAGAGAAGAGAGAGAAAAAAGGTCGAGGAGAGAAGCGAGAGAGGAAAAAGGTCGAGAAGAGAAGCGAGAGAGAGAAAGGTCGATGAGAGAAGAGAGAGAGAGAGAAAGGTCGATGAGAGAAGAGAGAGAGAGAAAGGTCGATGAGAGAAGAGAGAGAGAGAAAGGTCGATGAGAGAAGAGAGAGAGAGAAAGGTCGATGAGAGAAGAGAGAGAGAAAATGATCAATGAGAGAAAAGAGAGAGACGATGAGAGAACACAGAGAGAGAGAGAGAGAGAGAGAGAGATTGGGTGTGAAAAGCGAGGACGGGGGAGAGAGAGACAATAGATAAGGAAAGAGAGATACTGTTGATGGGAGAGAGGTTGAAAAACAGCCAACAACAAAAAAAAGAGTGTAAGAGAGAGCGTGCAAAATTGCCAAATGTTGTATGTGAGAGGTAAAGAGAAAATTTCTCCATACATAGAGAGAGAAAGAAAACGGTCAGTATGGGAGTGATAGGGATAACACAACATTCAACGTACGAGAGAGACAGAGAGACAGAGAGTGAGAGAGAGCTAAATGATGGAAAAGAGAGAGGGAGAAAAAACGGTTAGAGAGAGAGATATGCAAAATCAAAACAGTTGACGGAAAATACAAAGCGAGAACGGGGACATAAATGATTAGTGTTTCAGCCCTGATAAAAGCCAGGACTTCAAATTCTTTTTATCCCTCCAAACAGAAAGAAATACCCAAGACGATCGACTTCGGACACATTTGCTTCTATTTGTTCTTGAACTAAACCCATTTTATAAATATCAACGTCCATCCTTGTGTCTAAGTTACATGTTGCCTGTTTGTACCAGATACTGGAGGTTGCCCCTTATTCAAATCCTAATTTTCTATAGAGAAGATTGGATCAGCGCAATCTGACCCCGGGGCGTATCAATCTAAGATCTTTAAGTACTACTTTTCTCAAGCCCATCTCGTGAATAAAATCTTTACTTATTTCCGCATTAGCGTCCAAAGATAGCTTTTAAGTCCGAGTTAAAGACAGAATTTCGAATGCTTATGGGTTTTGTGACATAGACCATTTACACTTAGATGATTGTGTTGCGCAAATAGTCCTATTCAAACTTTAATTTACTCTTATAGAAAATGAAATGCATAAGCTGGTGGCCGAGACAAGACGAAAGCTGTGTTTTCAAGTGTTGGATTTGAAGTCTAAAGAAAGCCTTTAAGTCTAACGCCAGAATTTTGAATCCTCTTGGCTGATTATGCTGCGCCAGCTGTCCTATTCAAACTTTCATTCATTCTTACCTAATTGAATTACCGTATTTGCCGGCATATTAGACGCACGTTTTTTTTATCTTTTAAAATCCCCCTGCGTCTTATATGCAATATGTATGTTTAAAATTCGTGATAGTCGGCTGAAATTTAACTACCTGGTAACACCTATTAGCTTAGACTTTTGAGTAATTTTCATATACCTATTGTCATTATTTAAAAGGCTATTATGCAGATTAATAGTGTTGTCATTGATAATATTCATTATATTAATTTCATCACGTTTAATATTATACTTTGTTTCACTAAAATTATATGCAATACGTTCAAATTAGATAATTGTAAAATATATTTGCTTCATTAATATTTTTCTTGCGATGACTTCCGGTTGCAATGGTATAAGTAGAATCAGAATTTTTATATTTTAATTATTCCAATAAGACTTTTACAAGACGCAGGTTGTACAGGTCATAAAATAATAATAAGGATATAATAAAGTTTTTATAGGCTCATATTCTTTTTTCCTATTATTTTTCGTTCAATTGTAATCATGGCTTGTTTAACCAAAATAATACCTCATAAATATAGCCTTGGATGTATAATTTTACTAATATTACTAATTAGTATTTTTTCTTGATTAGCCCTGCTGAAATCGGGGTGCGTTTTATACGCTGTCAAATACAGTAGTTACAAAATCTGGTGGCCGGGAGAAGACAAAGACCATGTTTTTTTTTAATATGCTTGTATTTGAAGTCCTCCACAAATAAAATATTGGCGCAATATAGTCTTATTAAATAACCACTATTTATCCTTGTGCTATACTAATAAATGTAAGACATTTCCCATTAACGAGGGGTGACAAATTGTTTACCGAACACGCTCTCTCTTCCTTCATTTATTCGTTTGCTAATCCGTCATCGTTTTTACAGAGAGGGAAGATAGGAAGATGAAGAGTAACGTTTGTGGCGGGTGCAAGGAGTAAGGACACTCGATGAATTATGGACATACTATAAAACATGGATAGCAAATTTTGCTTTGCTTTTACCGTTATTATAAAACGAATATAATAAAATGAAGCAACCACAAATCAATGAACTCCAATTATAAAATGAGCAAGAAAGGCAAAGAGAGAAAAAAAAGAACAGGTGCTCTTTTTATACACCCCCGCCACAACTTACAGAAAGATAATGAATGTGAAAGTCGTTCGTGTTTAGGACTTTACTTCGGTTTCTTCAGAGCTGAATCATTAATGGAAATATGCATTTAGTAAGGTGGAGTTGGGATGCAGTCGGTGGAGGGGGGGAATGATGATATTGCGGAGGGGAGCCGGGTGGAAGTGCTGGATTGAGTAAATTTCGGCAAATTGGCGATTAAGCTAAACTCATCCTTCACATACAGGTGCAAGAGATTGCAATAAGAAGCAAATTAAAAGCTAAAAAGATAAATATCTACTCAAGTCGGAAAATGCTGATTGTTAAGATTGGATGCATAACATAGTGACCCATTGACGCCTCTTCAGCAGACAGTAAAGGCGGACATCTACAGAATATTGATGGCCATTCTGGCAGACCAATGCGAGCTAGTTCGATCCTTAATGGAAGCCTTAGAAAAAAGATCAGGGCTTGTGTGTGTGTGTGTGTGTGTGTGTGAGAGAGAGAGAGAGAGAGAGAGAGAATCACTGTCACGAAGCAACAGGAGAGTTTAAGAGAGAATAACGTCAGCGTAGGAGAAAGAGAGAGAGAATAATGTCAGCGCATGGAAGAGAGAGAGAGAGAATAATGTCAGCGTAGGAGAGAGAGAGAGAGAGCATAATGTCAGCGTAATAGAGAGAGAGATAATGATGTCAGCGTGAGAGAGAGAGAGAATGATGTCAGCGTGAGAGAGAGAGAATGATGTCAGCGTGAGAGAGAGAGAATGATGTCAGCGTGAGAGAGAGAGAGAGAGAGAATAATGCCAGTGTGTGTGTGAGAGAGAGAATAATGTCAGCGAAGGAGAGAGAGAAATAGAGAATAATATCAGCATGAGAAAGAGAGAGAGAGAGAATAATGTCAGCATGAGAAAGAGAGAGAGAGAGAATAATGTCAGCATGAGAAAGAGAGAGAGAGAATAATGTCAGCATGAGAAAGAGAGAGAGAGAGAATAATGTCAGCATGAGAAAGAGAGAGAGAGAGAATAATGTCAGCACGAGAAAGAGAGAGAGAATAATGTCAGCATGAGAAAGAGAGAGAGAGAGAATAATGTCAGCATGAGAAAGAGAGAGAGAGAATAATGTCAGCATGAGAGAGAGAGAGAGAGAATAATGTCAGCATGAGAAAGAGAGAGAGAGAGAATAATGTCAGCACGAGAAAGAGAGAATAATGTCAGCATGAGAGAGAGAGAGAGAATAATGTCAGCATGAAGAGAGAGAGAGAGAATAATGTCAGCATGAGAAAGAGAGAGAGAGAATAATGTCAGCATGAGAAAGAGAGAGAGAGAGAATAATGTCAGCATGAGAAAGAGAGAGAGAGAGAATAATGTCAGCATGAGAAAGAGAGAGAGAGAATAATGTCAGCATGAGAAAGAGAGAGAGAGAGAATAATGTCAGCATGAGAAAGAGAGAGAGAGAATAATGTCAGCATGAAGAGAGAGAGAGAGAGATAATGTCAGCACGAGAGAGAGAGAGAATAATGTCAGCATGAGAAAGAGAGAGAGAGAGAATAATGTCAGCATGAAAAGAGAGAGAGAATAATGTCAGCATGAGAAAGAGAGAGAGAATAATGTCATCATGAGAAGAGAGAGAGAATACAAGTGAGAGAGAAAAAACGGTGTCAGCGCTGGAGAGGGAGAATAATGTCGGCATGACAAAGAGAACGAATAACGTTTGCGTGAGAGTGAATAATATCAGCGTGGGGGAGAACAGGAGAAATACCAAGTAAACAGATAACACTGTGTAAGACTAACTAAAGACGGTGTTTATGAGTGATTGCCTGAAACAATGCAACGTTCAGTCTATATAGCCTACAATATCAAGTGCCAAGCTTAGGCATTTCTTTTAGAACTGTGGTGAGACCAACTATAGTGTAATTTATTAGCAACAACATATCTCAAATAACTGCTACTGATCAAGTACATTTCTTTTACAGTATGGTTCTCCCTATATAATGCCCGGTAATCACTCAAGGTAGAGGCTTGGAGAGGAAGATTACGCTTCTTTTAATCATTTCAGTCCAACAAAGGCAATATAGTAACTAAGACGTAAGAGGTTATTAAGTGTGAAAGAATATGAGAAAAAGCAAAGCATTATTAAGGAGAGAGAATAATAAAAGAACGGGAATTAAGAAAACAGATGATAACAACTGACATTGCATTCAAATTTTTGAAGATAAAACGTAAATGGTCAGCCAGAAACCGAAAGAGTTCTACAAGTGAGAAGTGCGAGGGAAGAAGGTATTAGCATAGAACCCACGGTTTCAGCTAACTGTAAGATGAGACCTAGCTGACAATCGAGTACTGCGCTTAAATTCGTAAAGTTACGAGGAAAACTCATCAGAAAAATTACCATGGAAATATTAATAGAAAAAGCATAGGGAAGCTACGTTGGGAAAGTGACAGAAGCTGAGATGACTGATCAAGACCGATAACATTGCAGATTGTTCTATCAAAAAAATCTCTAAATAGCTAGCAAATACACCAGACCAGAAATGACAGCTACAGTTTGTTAGTCTCACAGATTATTTCTTGTTTAGCAAGTTTAATCCTCACTAGTTGCTCTAGAAATAGCAGATAGTTGTGACAGTTTAAAATAAACCTTGTTAATCTCTACATGTGAGTTGTTATTAGGAAATATTTTTGGCTAATTTATTGAGTGACATTATCATCACTAAGTACTCCGTTATTATTGCCTTGTGTCAGGTTAGATTATAATTTATGTGTTTTTTTTTTTTTACAGATTATCAACATTTTGAAGTTTATTTTAACCCGGAAAGTAGTTTTAGAGTGTAAGAATTTTTTTGGAGGTCATAATGATTTACTGATAGAAGCCCTACTAATTAACCCGTAGATGGGGGAGAAGAGGTGGATTCATACCTTTCCCAAGGATAGTTTCGCGTGAGGGAATATAACGAATTAGAAATCGTAGGTCCGAGTTCCAATTCGAACCGTTAACCATTACGCTACCCGCACATCCAAGGCTCCCCAACGGTCACCCGTATAGGTACTGATCAGGCTTGACACTGCTTAACTTGTTTCAATGTGATATAGCCAAACTAAATTAAACTGAAATAATTGGGGGAAAAAAGCAAAAAAAAAAAAAGGCAAAAGCACGCCCTACAAATAGTTTGATTTTAATATTCACTCTTCGCGCGCTTGCAGCAAACGGAGCACGCATTTAACACAAAAGACAGTGACACACACTAACATGGCCGTAAAAAAATTGGCAACGTGATTCATTCATTTAAAATGGAAGGAAGATTTAAATTTCTAAGTTTCCAAGAAAAAGAAGAAAAAAAAAGTAGTAATGAAAATCAGATAGAAATCCCGTGCCTTGCTTTTGGCAAAAGGCCAAGCGTTTGCATCAGAAAACTTTGTAAAGTAATTTCAAATATAAATATTTAAAAACTGACTCACATATAAATATATTTTCTTTTTTTTTTTTTTTTTCTTTTTCCACTTCGGAGAGATTTTTATATTTATTTATCCACATATGAAAACTTCTCTTGAATCTTTTGGCACAGAAACCTTTAGTGTCCATTTCAGAATAAGGTCGAAGCTGTACAACTAAATGCAGGTTCAGGGAACAAGAGATGAAGAGAGAAGGAACAAGAGACGGAAAGAGAAATGCAGGAATAAAATGCTGCAGAGAATGCGGCAAAGTTCAAAGGAGAGAAGAAGAAAAAAGAGAGAACAGAGGAGAGTGAGTGACGAATAGAAAAAAAAGAGTTAAGAAGAAACCAAGTAAAAGAAAGAGAGGGAGAGGGAGAGAGAGAGATAAATAGCAGATAATTGAGAGAGAGAGAGAGAAATATAGAGAATAAGGGAAATAGCGTGAGAAAAAAAGCGACTAACAGACATTATATATATATATATATAGAGAGAGAGAGAGAGAGAGAGAAAGAGAGAGAGACAGAGAAAGATAGCGATGAACAGAGTGAGAAAGATAGAGGAAAGCAGAGAGAGAAATATAGCAAAGAACAGAGGGAGGGGGGCGAGAGAAAACTGAGCGTGCAACAAAGTGAGAGACACAGCACGCGAAGCTGAGAGAGAAAGAAAACGAGCGAGTAGCAGCGAGAGAAGGAGAAATAGAGCGAGTAACGGTGAGGAGGAGTGAAACAGAGGAACGGAGAGGGAGAAACAAATCCAATAACAGAGATATACAGCGCTAACAAGGGGGTGGTGGGGAGAGAGAGAGAGTTGATAATAGCTAGATGATTAATACAGAAGAGAAAACATGGGAGATGATTTTGTATTCACGAGACACTTCACTATTTTTTTTTTTTTAATATAACCAGTAAAGTGGCTTATATTTTTTCAATTAAGACATGCGACGTAGTTCGATGCAGAAAAGAACTTTGCCAGTAAAACTGATGTAAAAACGAAAAGTAATGCATTTATACAAGAACGTGTCTCTTGGAACGTATCTTTGAATTTAAATACACACAGCGTCTTCAAGAGCCATGTTTTACAAGGCATTTTGGATCGCAATTCTCTCTCATTTATTTATTTTTAATCTGTAGCTTTTCAAAGACAATTTATGTGAAAGTTTGTATGGAAACGAGAACATTCATTCAAGAAATAAAATCTCGTTAGGTTTAACCGGCTATATTTTCTTGCAGCAGGAATTTGGAAAGACATTTTTTTTTCAGCCAGTTTCATATTCAAAACGTATGAACGAAATTTTTAAACATAATACATTTGCATCGTCAGATTATCTTGGATTATAGCTTTACACTCTCATCATCACCTTAGGAGTTCGTCTTAACTACTAAATTTCTGATAATTAAGCGGGCCACAAATCTATTGATATTCTGCTTCGATTATCAAACTTAACTTTTTTTTAAACGATTTTAGGAAGAAAAACAGTAAAGCCACTAAAACGCGATGGGTTATTGAGTGTGAAAGTTTTTTTTAATTTTTATATGAATTAACATTTACATCATCATCATCATCTTTTGATTTCTGTTCCATCATCATTATCATTATCTTTGGCTCAAAGCAAGTCAGTAAATACATGCATTCTGTTCGTGCACACTGGGATGTTAAATGATACTTATCATGTATACTTTACATTTTCTCTACGTTAATAATACCCTCTTCGGGAGATAAAGCAGTTCCACCCGCTAAAATTTTGTGAATCTTTCATAAATAGAAGCTTGATCAGATAAAGAACAAATAGGAAACGTTTATCAATCTAACTTGTTTCGCTGTTATTAAAGCTTCATCAGAGAATGAGATGTGGAGAAAAAGTGTTGTTTGATTTTCATTGGTTAATCATGTTTCCCATTCGACTTGTTAAACAAACGTTAATTTATGGCGTTTCAAGAAAAGACGAAGCGTCCTTTCGTAGTTCCAAGAATCTAACAGATCTCAAGCCTAACTGAGAAACCGTAAATATTGCTTTATCTATGTAAGTGCATAATAATTCTAGTTTGTCTATGTGAGATTCAGAAGATAATGTATATTTTAAGGGGCATCCAGGGATCTTATTAATGTACACGTTTGAATTAAGAGATTTTTCTTCTAGCTAGAATGGTTACCAAACAAGGCTAGAGAGCTCATTCTGATCCACACACAGGCGGATGAGAGAAGAGGTGGGTTCATATCTTTCCTAAAGTTATTCATGCCACAGTGAACACTATGGGGATTTTCTAAGCATAGCTCAGATGTGGCACAAGGCCGAAAGTATAGAGCACCAATGAGGATCGAACTGACTACTCAGTCGTAATTGATCTAGCGAGACAACCTTGCTAACCAATACACTACTTCTAGGTACCCTAAATGATACTTTCTAAGCGTATCTTAGATATGGCACAAGGCCGAAATTATGGGGCACCTAGTGAGGATCGAAGTCACTAACAGATCAAGCTTGCTAAGCATTACACAACGTCGAAATGCCCTAAATGGTGACTTTCTAAGCGTAGCTTAGATGTGGCACAAAGTCGTAAGTATACGGTACCCACTGAGGATCGAACTCACGACTCAGTTTCTAACTGGTCTATGCTTGCTAACGTCGAAGTGTCCTAAATTTTTTTTTCTGTGACAAGTATGAAGCATCAATTGAACTCGAAGGATCGAACACACAACCCAATCTTAGTTGTTCTAACGAGATGTTTTATTAACCATTACACCACTTCGAAGTGCCCCCATAGTGAAAGCTATGAACTCGGTCGGAATTCGAACTCGGTACGTCGATCTCACTTTCCGAGCCGATAGCCGCTACGCTATGCTGTGCCATATTACAGCTCAATATATCTTGACATTAGATTTTGGAAACCATCTACTTTATTTAAGAGAGATAGAGGGAAAAGGAAGAAAGGTTTGCTGTTGTTACTTCGACCTGGTTTTTAGGTATGCTAATTTATTCTAACAACGCTATGCAAGAATGTGGTACAATGGTTGGTTGATTAATTGATTTGACGACTTGTCACCGCTTGTTGGGTTATTTAATGCCGAACTTTTGTATGGACATTCACTGAGGATCGAACTCATTACTCAGTTATTAATAGTCGACCAGCCTAGTCTCGTTAACCGTTACCCGACACTGAGGTGCTGTCGTACAATGCTTCTTATGATGTTCTATTCTTGGCTATTTTTATTGGTTATTTCTGTTATGAAGAAAGGATACGTACATTGTTAATATTCGCCGACGTCAACAATTTCTAAAATTAACTGGAAATTAAAGAAAACTGGTACCATCCAAAATACGTCAATGTTGAAGATAGGATACTTGGGAGAGTGCTGGAGGATTATTGTTACTTTATATTCGGTAACGACCACCAAGTACTAATACATCAGGTCAGGTCAGTTTTGGAACCATGGCATAGCACTCAATTCAAAGGTTGGGGTTTGGTATGATAAATAAGGACACATATATTCTTCCAAATCCTTACTCTTTTTTGGGGGGGGGGAGGAAACGAGTTTAAAGATTAACTTTCAGTTTAATACCGTACTGTTGTAATATCATTCCGGTCATCAGTGTAAACCTTAGTCCATCTTACAAATCTACCATTCGTCCGTGCATTGAATATTGTTGCCAAATTTGGTCTGGTGTCCATGACGTTTATCTCGAGGTTCTCGACAAAATTTAAAGAAGGATCTGCAATGTAATCGGTCCTGACCTGGCATCTCGACTTCATTCACTTTCTCATAGACGTGATGTGGCTTCCCTCTGTCTTTTCTACAAATATTTTCATAGCAACTGTTCTGATGAGCTATCTTCCCTGATGCCCCGACTACATGAATTTAACCGTGCTACTAGATTGGCATGTAGGTCCCACCCCTTTATTGTTCAAATTGAGTAGAAGTAGCGGTTACAGTTAACTAACAGTTTCTTTTCTCGCATTTCTCGACAGCGGAATTCCCCCCTCTTACTTGCTTCCCTGATAACTATTTTATTAATTATCATCTAAAAACTGCTTTTTTTTGTAATCTTTTACAATTTTTTACAGTTTTACCTATCAAATACATTAAAAAATGCATATTTTGCTTACAATTACAATTCTGATTTGAATATATAGTTGGTTTGTTTTGTTTTACGGCATATCAACCTCAATGGGTTATTTAATGCCGACCAAATTTTTATTGTTGGTATTTTTTTTTCAAAAAATGTATAGCTGATAATATTTTTTTCAAAATGTATTGCTGATAATAATTTTTTACAAAAAAATATTTTACTGGTAATAAATCCTATTTTTACACGTTTTGACAACCGTTGATTTTTTTTTATAGGCTATTTGCCTATAGCTGTGACCCTAACAGGTGCTACCACCGCGGGTCAGGGTGGACCTGGGAACACCAGCAATTAACAGGTGGTTCCACGATCCTCAAACCCTCCTGATCAGAGGCCTTGTTGTTGGAAGTAGTCTTACCCAGGACGCGGATGTAGTTTATCGTCATACCCAGGACGGGACTTGAATATATTTTTCATTCGATGTATCTAATACAAAAGATATCAAATTTTTTTGGATTTATTCTTGAAATAGTAAAATTTTAAAATCAGTTTGTAAGCAAAAACCTGAGAAAATTATGTATTTTTGTAGATTTTTCGGAGGATCTTTAAAACAAAATGTTCAAGAATTGGTAAAAGCTATGAATTTAATTTTTGGTGCCAGTACATATCACATGAAACCCAGCATTCACATCGAGTGTAATGTTGATTTTCTAAAAAAAAATGAAAAATCAACATGTCCGACTGCGACATGTGAACACTTATTAAGCGAATACTACTAATACTACGACTTATAATAATCCCACCAACTACGCATACGCTGTTGAATATATTGTTGAATATGCCATTGTTGAATATGCCATAATCCGCAGTTTGTCACCTTTTTTTTTCGCTCCTGATGCTGCCAAAGCATTTTAATTTTATCCAGCCCATCACGCCATCTTAGGTTTTGCCGGCTACAGTTTCACATGATCTCAATGGACCCGCGTTATGAGTCACGATGTCCAGCGCTTGTCTGATATTCTTGCAACATAGCCTGCCTATTGCCTTTTAATTTTACTAATGGCTTCTAGGATATCACTTGTCACTTGTTTTCTCTCTAATACATTATGCCTTTCTGCGGTCCTTCCAGGTGCGGTGCCACACGATTCGTTCCCGTACACGTTGTATGGTTCTTAGCTTCAAAGACAATTTATTGATTAAATCCCGTGCAAAAGCTGACTATTACGAAGAAGCATTGGTTGCAGACCATTCTTTTTAAGACCAATGACATTTTCTCGTTCTTGAAGACTGAACTTGAGAACAAAAGCTTACCAAACTAGGATGATTCTTTTTTCTTTATTCTTCTGAAGACTCTACAGAGATAAAATTGTAGAGATCTACTTAATCCTGCTATACATTTGCAATTTTAACTGTTTATCAAAATGTTGTGTAGAAAACAACCTACCTTCGCTAACATTAAATTGTTGAACATAAACTCTTACACTCACTGTGAGTGGTACGTCCTCTCATCGGAACAGGGATCACAAAGTGTGTTGTACGCATTGCCGCACTAAGGTATTATTGCATTATTAATCTATATGATTAAAAAAGTTTCTTCACTAATCTTTTGTTCTAGTGTTTTCCTTGGACTATTATTAACCATTTATAATTAAAAGACATCCCTCGATTAATACACATTCGATTAATACGTTTTCGATCAGTGCACACATAATATTCGATTAGTGCGGTAAAACATTCTTAAGTTTAACCATAGT